TGGAGTTGCACCGACTTATCAGGAGGCTGAACCGTCGACAATCTGCGAAATGCCCGTATTGATGGTTTGGATCATGAACCCTTCGACCCTTGTTGAAAGCATACTGTCCACAAGCAGACCATAACTGCAGGCAGCAACTCAGAGAAGCACCAGGCAATGCTCTCAAGGCAACATGTTACATGCTGCGCCTGCAACATGCTGCACGGGCCCGTGACGTTTTCAGGCCAAAAGCCTGAAAACAAGGGCCTACAGGCCCCGTGTCGTTTCAGCCTGAAAGCCTGAAGACAAGGGCCTACAGGCCCTGTGTCGTTTCAGGCTAAATCAGGGCCTTTCTGGCCCTGAGTGTTTCAGCCTGAAACTGAGGGCCATTTTCAGGCCCTCATCAGTTCGACCCGCCCTGAAATTCAGGCAACAAACCAGGGTTTTAGCACAGGCCGTTTCGGGCCTGTTTTCAAGACAACCCCTGGTTGAGCTTCAACGCCAGGGTCTGGCACGTTTTGGCATTGGCAAGAGCAGCCTCCTGGACGGGCCAGCACTATATAGGACTGGCCCGCCCTCCAGGCCGGTAGGTAGTTCCTAGGTACTTCCCAGGCACTTCACGTGCAGTTCAGAGGCAGGAGGTGGTCTTCAGGATTCGGCAGCAGCACTCTGGAGGAGCGCTGCAGGAGTAGTTGTAGCGCTAGCAGTAGTCTTCAGCGCTGGGCGCTAGTAGTGTTAGCAGTAGTCTTCAGCGCTGGGCGCCATAGGAGCTAGAGTAGTACTAGAGAGAGAGAGATTGGGCGGAGGCCAGGGATACTTACCTGCAGCGCCATAGCTCCAGCTTCGCCTTCGAGTACCTGCAGCACAGCGCCATCTTCACAGGTTAGTACCTGGCATATGAGAGAGAGAGAGTTCTTCTTCTTCCTTTCTCAGTCCACCATCGCCCTCTCACCCTCTCGCTACCTGACTTCACTGCATCAGCAGACTACGAGAGAAAGAGAGAGCTTGGTGACATTTGGATCCAGACTCGACATTTGGGCTTCAGACATCTTGACGAGGGATTATTTGGGACTTGTAACAAAGACTTGGTGTTGATGACATTCCCATCTCTCCCCCTCTTCTTCGTCTGTTCCCCTCCTCTTCGTCTGTGCATGATCTGGGCCTGGCGCCTTCTTCCTGTGTATAGCGCCAGGACCCTTCACACCTTCTGATGAGGATGATGCATGTTTGGTCTGCGTGGCAACATTGATTGGGCTAGTCATTGGTATTCTAGCATTCTGCTGCGCTGTCCTACACTACGTGATAGAGGTCAGTTCCGGTCAGGTCAGGACTTGTATCTAAGTCTTCCACTGCGCTATAAAGCACCATTTTTGTATGTATCAGAATGCACACTGCTTGTTGAGATTTCACTTGCACTACATTGTCCATTCAGTCCTTTTTATCACATTGCGGATCCTCGGTTTATTATGTACATCGCCCAACTGGGCATGTAACACAACACGATGGCACAATGCCAAAAACAACTGCAAGGAACGACAGGGCAAGCAGACAAGCTGCACGGCAACAGCACAGTGAAGCACAAGGCAGCGCCAGCACAGCAGCCATACTACAAGACACAAGCAAGGAATGTGGAAGGGAAGGCACGCGGATGGGCAGCAAGGCAGCAGTGCAGCGAAGCACAGGGCAACACCAACACCACAGCCATACCATACAGTGAACACAGCAGCTTGCAAAGGACAACATGCGACGCCAGCGGGACGGGCAGCAAGGCAGCGGTAAGGCAGTCTACACATCCAACATGGTGCAAAGCGGCACATCACCTACTCACGTCACAGGTGAACCTCGCAGACTGTTGATTCCCACCCCCTGCGGAGCCAGGAAGGTACTCTGACATACATTCATCACCACCCACAGACCATATGCACCACACACATCACGAGCAGAGTGGCCCCCCTCACAGTCCTCCAGGCACTCCAGACACCCAACCACCGACTGTTTAGCACTTCGTAAAGGTGCTCACACGGACTCGCAGAAAGTACTCAGAAAAAAACAGGAAAACAGACTCACAAAAAACAAGAGGAAAGACATACATAAAACTGAGTGTGTGTGTGTGTGTGCGTGTGGGCAAGGAATATGAGTGTAAACGATATACAGAAAACCAAGTTGCGAAATCACACAGATGTCCAAGTAGTCGTGTACAAGCAGAGAGCACAATTGCACCGAGAATCCATCCAAATAGAGCAATACAATGAAGTAATGAGCCAATGTTCAAGCCCTCAGGCCGCACCAACACAGTATCCAAAGTCGCTCCTCTCTGTCTGGCGCCCAGCGCCTAGCATACTCTACTCGACTATCCTACCTACAGCTGTGTTCACACAACAGGCACTTCAACTCTCGAAGACCAACGTACATGATGTCAACGCCATAGCCGACCTCTCTTCATGCACCAGGTACGTATCTCGTCACCCTCATCAGACCTTGATATCCCACACACTCGCCTCCTTCCTTGAAGACCACCAGATCGCCCCCTCTTACCCCCTTGCGCCCAGCAGCCCGGCTATGGCCGCCAGCGCATCGCTGCCCTGCAGCGCCCCACTTCACCTCAACACGCCCCGCTAGCGCACTGGCCGCAGCGCAGCATCCTATGCAGCAGTGCAGCAGCGTGACCGCATTGCCTGCGCGGGTCAGAATGCCTGACCTGGGCTGCCTCACTTCCTATATGGAAGTGGCAGCCTGTTACATGCTGCGCCTGCACACGCAGGTCATTTTCCAGGCCCTGCACCCTTCAGCCAAAAAGACGAGAATTCAGCCTGAAAACAGGGGCCTACAGTCCCTGTGTCGTTTCAAACTAAAAATGGCAAGAGCCTTTTTAGCCTGAAACAAAGGGCTATTTTCGGTCGTTCACCAGAACGACCGGCCCTGAAACTCAGGCACCAAACCAGGGTTTCGGGAACAGGCTATTCTTAGCCTGTATCCACGCCAGCCTCAGCAGATGCTGCAGCGCCAGCCCCTGGCACACTTTGGCATTGGCAAAGAGCAGCCTCCTCGGCCTGGCTGGCCCTTCAGGCAGTCAGGAGGCAGGCCGGCATTGGCAAAGAGCAGCCTCCTCGGCCTGGCTGGCCCTTCAGGCAGTCAGGAGGCAGGCCGTGGATTGGCAAGAGCAGCCTCCTCGGCCTAGCTGGCCCTTCAGGCAGTCAGGAGGCAGGCCGTGGATTGGCAAGAGCAGCCTCCTCGGCCTGGTTGGCCCCTAGGAGGCAGGCCGTGGAAGTATATAGGTACCCCCCCAGGCACTTCACGATTCATTCAGGAGGCAGTAGTCTTCAGGCTTCGGGAGCAGCACTCTGGAGGGAGCGCTGCGTTGTAGTAGTAGTAGCGTTAGCTTGTAGTCTTCAGCGCTGGGCGCAGTAGGTAGCTGTAGTCTCCAGCGCTGGGCGCCATAGCTAGGATAGTGTTAGAGAGAGAGAGAGAGAGAGAGTTTGGGCGGAG